TATATATATATATGCACACACCACACACACATATATATTTACTTATATAAAGTATATGTGTGTATACACACAAATATATATATATATATATATATATATATATATATATATATATATATATATATATATATATATATATATATATATATAAATGAATATGTATATTTATTTACTTATATAAAGTACGTCTATGCACATATACACACATGTGTATATATATGTATACACACATACACACACATATATATATAGAGAGAGAAGGAATTCGACTCCACACACAGACGAATTAGCTGGATGAAGACGTCGATGGGAAGAGGAAGACGAGGATCCTCGGCAGAGATCTTCCTCGGAAGGAAAGCGAGGACGTCATCAAGCGGGACCCTGGTGAACAGGGAGTCGATATCAAAGCTCAGCATTGGATGCCGGCTTAATAGAAATCTCTCGTTCTTGTTTGCTTCCTTCCCCGACTTGGTTCCTGCCTTTCGTGCTTTTGAGGCTTCTGCCATCGCCACGGACCGACGGAAGAATCAACTTCGTTTCCTCCGAGATTGCCTCGAGGAGTAGGTGCTCCCTTCCTCGATCTGCAATCTCCTGAAACACTCGGATGAAGGATCTCTCTTTCCGGATTATGGTCGTTCCCTCCTCCTTGAACTGATCCACGCTGGTAAGAGGGATGTCAAGCATGCCTACTATCGCTCGAGGGTTCGTTCTTAACTCCTGAAGGAACGGCTCCCTGACCACGTCTTCCAGCTCATAGCTGACGTGGCCCATGATTCTTCCCGGTATTTCTCCACTACCCATGTCCGCTCTCTCACCCAGAATCTCTCCAACCTCACCTCCCGTAGTCCCTGGTTCCACTTCTCCCTCACCGACGCTGTCACCAACCTATCCTCCCTGTCCTTGACCCCTCACCAACAACAACTCCTTGGCTTCGGTCTTTCTTTTGCTCTGCCGTCTACACCTTACCTGCATTGACATTATTTCTTCCTTTGACTGTTTCGTCTCCACTCATAGGAATTCCTTGCTTGATGTCTCCCTCCTTCATGGGGCCTTCCTCCCAGCCCTCGAGTCCCTCCTTCACCCCAACCCTTCCACTCCCAGGCTTTACCGTGAGGCCCTTCACAGCCTACACAGGGAGGATGTCACCATTTTGCCTTCTGACAAAGGCAACTCGGTGGTGGTCCTCGACCGTGCCTCATACCTATAGAAGGCTCAGAGCCTGTTGGATGACGCCTCCACCTATGCCCCCCTGACCAGCGACCCCCGGAAACACATTGCTGGTACCTTCCACCGTTGTCTGAAAGGGTTGGCTTCTCATTTCCCGGAGGCGAACCTTTACCAGAAGTTTAAGGTAGTCAACCCTTGCCTCCCTCATTTCTATGGGCTTCCCAAAACCCATAAGCCGGCTGTGCCTCTGTGCCCCATCATCTCCTCCCATCTGTGACGCATCCACTGGCAGCTTGGCTGGCTGTCTCTCACTCCCCTTCTCGGTACCTTCTTTCCAGCTCACCTTCGCCACTTACAGGACTTCATCTCCCGTATCCGTGGTGTGTCGCCTGGGTCCATGTTGAGCTTGGATATCGACTCCCTGTTCACCAAGGTCCCGCTTGATGACATCCTCGCTTTCCTTCAGAGGAAGCTCCCTGCCGAAGATCCTCGTCTTCTCTTACCATCGACGACTTCATCCAGCTGATTCGTCTCTGTGTGGATTCGAATTCCTTCTTCTTTGAGGGTCGCTTCTACTCACAGACGTTCGGTGTTGCCATGGGCTCTTCCCTCCCCCCTGTTCTGGCTAACCTGTACATGGAGTTCTTCGAGTCGGAGCTCCTCCCTTCCATCTCCCCTCGTCCTTCCATGTGGCTGAGATACGTCGACGTCTTTGCTCTCTGGCTTCATGACCTGCCCTGTTTCTCGATTTCCTGTCACAGCTGAACTCTCTCTTCTTCCATCCGGTTTAGGGTGGAATGGGAGGGTGACAACAAGCTCCCCTTCTTGGACACTCTTGTCCATCGTTCTGCTGATCATTTTTCTTTTGCTATATACAGGAAACCTATGCACTTCTCGTACCATCCACTGCATGTGAAGAGAGGGGTAGCCATTCGCTGTTCCTTCGCGCCCTCCGCATCTGTGACCCCCAGTAACTGGATGGAGAGATTGATTTCCTTTGTTCATTCTCCAAACTGGGTTACCCTCGCCATGTTCTCGACGTCGCGTTATCCAGGGCGCGGCGTACCTTCTACAGTGTCTCCCTTCCTAACGAGACCCTTCACCTGCCAGTACTCAGCCTGCCTTACACTAGTGAAATCTACTCTCTCCGTCGCCCCCTGCAGACTCTCCTTTCGCCAGGTGAACACTCTCCGTCGCAACCTGGTTCACACCTGCCCTCCCTCTACTTCGAAGGTGAGCACCTATGCTGTTCCGTGTGCCTCCTGTGATAAGCAGTATTTTGGTGAAATAGACGCCAGTCTTACTAAGCATCCATCTTAGCATAAGTACACTGTATCCAGGGGACTCAGCAATAATGCCCTCTTCTGCCAACAGTGGAGCACTGGACCATCAGATGGACTGGAAAGCAGCGAGCATTGTCTTCCCTTCCGCTGATATCCATGCCCGCAGACTGGTGGAATCTTCCCTCATTATGGTGCTGCCCACTTTCAACCTGAACAGCGTTTTTTCTCTGGCCGACAGCCTCCTCGCCTCCCACATCCTCCGCCTGCTGCCCTATGCCAGTCACCTTTTACATAGACAGCCGGATCCTTCGACCTGACCTGACCTCCCTTCGTTTCCATTCTCCTGTCCTCACCCCGAGTGCTTCTCATTCTCTCCCTCTTATATTGCGTCCTCTCCATTTCCTCCTCACTCCAAGCTGAAACGGTTGCGATCATGGAATCCCCGACACATGCGTCCCTAAGGGTTGGACACATCATTCACACAAACTGTAGAGCAACCACTGACAGTCTACAGCATAGCATGTCCCAAGACAACATCTACCTTCTGACATCTGTGCTGACCATAGCCTAAAGAATATTCATTCAGGGTAGAAGAATTTTCATAAATTGGGTACCAAGCCATATTGGCATTCAAGGGAATGAGCTTGCTGACAGACTAGCTGAAAAGGGCAGGGCTATGCTCCCGTCCTCCATGATCGTTAAACCAAACCGAAGGAGACTAAGACAAAGTTCCAAAGCTACGGCATGTGCAGTCCTCCGGGGAGCACACAGAGAAAATGTCAAAGTTGCTTGCTGCCAAATGGTACTCAGATGCTACAGGCTATGAGCCACTGGCCCTTCCTCCAAATACAAAAAGAGGTACCGAAATCATACTACACAGATTAAGACTAGGTTACCCATGCGCTTGGCAAATTATTGATGACACAACTGCCAGGTCATGCAAACACTGCGGCGAGCCTAACGCCACCCTGTTACATTATTTGCAGAATTGTGAACACATTTCTAAGACAAGGATCACCCACCACAGCCGCTGGGCTGGTAAAAAGGGTATGCCACATGCTTACTCCGAGGCAGCTGGATCGCTTGCTTGCAAGTCAGCCACCACAATTAGCATACAGTTCAAAGAAAACACATGGTAACTAGAAATAGTTGACATAGGCCGGGCCACTCTAGAGAAAAAGCTCGGGTGAACCATAACTTCGGAAATCTGATTGAACTGAACAAAGATGGAATCGAGGACGATTCCGAAACTGTTGTCTCACTTTCTTCAATAAATCTAGTTTGTACAATGTGGGTTTCTCTACCATAGCATCAACACGGTAGTGTTTTTCCATTCAAATATATATATATATATATATATATATATATATATATATACATATATATATATATATATTATATATATATATATATATATATATAATATACATATACATATATATATATATATATATATATATATATATATATATATATATATATATATATATATATATTTATATTTATATATAACATATACATATATATATATATATATATATATATATATAATAATATATATATATATATATATATATATATATATATATATATATATATATATATATAATATATATACATATATACATATATAGTGTGTGTGTGTGTGTGTGTGTGTGTGTGTGTGTGTGTGTCTGTGTGTGCAACAGGAACAACGAAGGGAAGGGCAAGAAAACACACGAATATGCCGAAGGCCTTTTCGCTATTGCTTCGTCAGGGCATACACTACAAGAGGTACATTGAGGAGTATATATACAAATACTGGGTGGTCAGGTCACGTCGGTAATCAGGAGAGCGACGACCTTGGCTAGTTCGTGGCTCCCCGTAGCGGTGTTGATGTTAGTTGTATGAATAAACGCCTTTTAATCTTCCTTTGTAGTGGGGCCAGTCTTTGCTTTATAATGGAGGCCTGGGACCACTTTGGGAGGTGACCCTTGGTGTCCACATGAACAGCGAAGGCGCTTCTCGTGTCATGGCGTCGGAGAGCGATAGGCGTGACAGCACGAGGACTGCATGAACAATGAATTAGCCAACACCGCAGCGCTCTCCGACGCCATGACACGAGAAGCGCCTTCGTTGTTCACGTAGACGTCGCATTTGGGGTATTTAAGGGCTACCGATATGAGGTATTGAGGTATTGAGATTGAAGCTTTTGGCTTCATGTCTCTTATTGCTATGTACGCTCCTACCGATGTTTGTAAACTTGACGTGAAAGAGATGTTCTACACCAAACTTACATCTGTGGTAGACAGATGTCCCCGGCGAGATATTCGCATTGTTCTGGGTGACTTCAATGCGGTATCTGGCTGTGATCGAGCTGGCTATGAGATGTCTGTCGGTCCCATGGTTCAGGAGCTGATGCCGGTAGCGAGAATAGCCTCCTTTTCCGGGACTTTGCTAGGTCCCAGAAATTGAGGATTTCTGGCTCCTGGTACCAGCGCCCAGACCCACATCGCTGGACATGGTACAGTGGTGCAGGTAATGCAGCCAAGGAGATCGACCACATACTCG